CCCCAAAACCCCAAAACCCCTTCAACTAAAAAAACACATTAATTGTCAATGATGGTAATTAAGACTTTTAACTATTAATAACTCATATTAAAATGAGTAGTCATCTATCAACAAATTTCTAATTATCTAAATTAATAGTCTCAACTAATTCCTCAAGTTTATAGTAAGATAGAATCTGGGAATTGTATTTCTAGTTTCATTTTCGCATCATATAACTCTTCATGAGATTTATCAAAAAGTAGGAATATAAAGAACCCTAATGTACATGTATTAATCAAAGCCAAAGTCAAGAGTAATCTCATTATTAAGGGATATTAGCTTTTTATGTAATCTTTTACGGCATTAACACAATTTTTAGTAGGTGGACCACTAAATTAAATTTCATTAAATTTGATAGAAAACTTACGGTCTAATGTTGCTGAAGGTAAAAAAATTTGAAGATTTGCACATTGAAGCACAATTAAACTATGATTCAACAATCTTGATAAGTTATATATTCTATACAATCTCATTTTTATGTCTCATTTAAATTTTATCAAGACATTACTCAAAATTTGTAATTCCGTTGTTATTTTAAACTATATTCAATCGCAAAGATTCTGGCCAATTATGTCGATCTGTTAGAACTAATTTAAAATGCTACAATAGTACCTATAAGACAAGGACATTCTTCAGTGCATATATAGGTATTGGCCATGTCATAAAGTTCATCTATTTTTTATAAATCACTATTTCCTGTCTTATCATTGCAATTATCATCTGCATATGTTGTCAATTTCTGTGACCCGTAATGATTTAGAATGGACATTGAGATTAAAGTTAAAATACTAATAATCTAGATTGTAATGATCTATAGTGAAATTAGGTTGATATATTTTACTAGTATTTTTATTCTGCGGCTAACCTTAATCAATATCAGTATATGCAAGATAGCACAAACTGAGAGCAATCCAGAGACAAAAAATAAAGCATTAGAAACCGCTTCATTTTGATTGATTTTTATCAAAAGCTCGTTAATTCTTATAGATATTGATTTGTACAAAAATAGAACTACTGAAGTCTAATTTTCAAAGTTACTGCTATGAATTCTTACAAATATCACAAATAGGTATACAAATAGAGCAGAGTAGAGTTGCACATTTCTCCAAAAGACCTTCATTTCCATCTCTTAGACGAATGCTTCAAGTACTTTCTTATTTTTTGTACCTTCAATAAATGACATTAATTTGAAGTTTAAATGTTAATCGTTATTATTATCATTTAAAGTAATTTATCAAACAGCTTTATTTTAATATTTCATTAGAAACAAAAATTTTATCCAATGGGGTTTTGGGGTTTTGGGG